TAATAATAATTCATGTCTCTATAGTTACCTGTTAATTTTAGTAAGTATTACAAAAAAAAAAACCAAAATCGAATTATTTACTTTTAAGTATTTTAACTCTTTAATATACCAACCAGATTTATTTTAAACCAAAAACCACCGTTAAAGTTGAAAATCGAAGTAGTTTTTCTGGTCCAATAATAGGTTATGATAGACAAAAAAACAAAACAACACACACACACACATCGAAAAACCAATATACATTCATAATCTAAAAAGGTTTTTTTAACGAAGGTGTAGGTACTATATACCTACGTTGTAAAAATATATTTCAACTAAATGATCCTATTATTAGTTATTCTATATAGACTATAATATAATCACCTTTTACCACGTTTCGAATATTATTAATGTATTATTAATTATTATATAATATTTTTTACATCTACTAATTAATTTATAATACAATTTGTTTAAATAATGAAGTGTCAAATTGTATTTTACTTGGTATTAGGTATATTATCTAAATACACTGTATAATAGTTGTTTTAATTTTCCCATAAATCTCTTTTGTCCTTTATTAATTTTTGGTATCGATATTTTTATTAATCTTTTAACGTGACGTTGTTTGTTGTGTGCCGATGACTCGAAAGACTACTATTGTTTGCATAATTTCGTATGGATGATTTTAGCCTTTAGGTATACAAATTATCCTTATTCGTAAATAGGTATGAGGTCAATGGTCTTTCTTTATGGTCTATCTTAAAATTCGTCTTTTAGTTGTGTAGATACATTATATCAATTTTGATGTTGATCATCGAGAACGGTGAATGATCCTGTGAGACCTATGAAGAAGTTTTCATCATTAATATTAATTGTTTGACTATAATAATTAATTTGTTAAAAATTCAAGTTGAAATTACACCGATTAATTTTTAATTTAATGCTTCTAATATATATTAATCCAGATCTCAAATGTAATCTCAAGAGATTTTAAAGTTATAACTACGGTACTTACGTTTAATAAATTTTAATTAAAAATGAAAATACATATTATATATTATTCAGCGAGGAAGACTCTTAAAACTTTTTGTAACTTAGTTTTAAATAAAATCACATACAATATACTTTTTAATTTTAAAATTTAAAATATTATTCGTCATAGACTAAGTGGCTGATTTAATTATCATTAGTTGTTGAAATATTCTTATAACTATAATTATTTATTTATTTTTTTACAAATATTTTCTGCAATATATAAAAAAATATATAAATTTAAACTCTACAAAAATATTATGTTTAAAGTTTTAAACTTATAATGTAATGTAAATGATATAATTAGGTATTATATAATTATTTTTGGTTTTTTTAATAAATCTATTAGGTGTACCTATATCAAGTTATAATAAGCAAGATGTACCTAATGTAACTAAGAACTATAAAGTATAAATAAAAAAATTACAAAATATAAAAAAAATAATTTTTAATTTTCATAATAAGTGATTATTTGATTTTTAAATATTTTAATGAGTCAGTAGAAATTGTCTTTAATAATTTGTTGGCACGTATAGTGATTGCTACATATTTATGTTTTTACTGTTAGTTAAATAATCTAAAATTAATTATAAATATTTTATTTTAAATCGGTTATTTTTGTGTTATTTGAGTTTTGAAGTTTTTAAATAGGTACGAATATTTTGTAAAATAACTGAATAAACGAACCACCAATATGTATAGTAATTTAAAAAGTTGTATAATTTTACTAATTTTAATAATATCATATTATATTTATAATTATATTGTCTAGACTGTGTAGAAATATACGAATTAGATCAAT